GCAGCTGCTGCTGCTGCTGCTGCTGCTGCGGTTGCTGCTGCGGCTGCCTGTGTCTCCTTGGCAGCCACACCAAACGCATGCAGAAGACACTCTAACTGCAACTAGCATTTAAACACAAAGTGCAGCAGCTGCTGCAGCAACAGGAGCTGCTGCTGCTGCAGGTGGTGCTGCAGCAGCAGCAGCAGCAGCAGCAGCTACGCGTCAACAACACCTGCCTCTGTAACAGCAAAGGGGACAGCAGCAGGAGGGAGGTGTGGCGCAAAGAGAATATGCATGCAGCGCATGCGTTCTAGCTGCTCATACACCTGCTGCTGCTGCTGCTGCTGCAGTGCAGCAGAACCTGCTGCACCCTCTCCTGCTGCTGCTGCTGCTGTTGCAGCAGCAGCAAAATGGTCAGGAGACAGACGCATTAGAAGGAGACGATAGTTAATGCAGCAACCCCACACATCCCCTAGTGCAGCACGAATATTAGATGGAGGTGCTGCTGCTGCTGCTGCTGCACGTGCTGCTGCAGTTACTGCTGCTGCTGTTGCTGCTGCTGCTGCTGTTGCTGCATCTGCGTCTCCTCCTGCCGCTTCCAACGATGTCTCTGCTGCACCCATAGACCTCCAATTCATCGTTTGCTGCTGCTGCTGCAGTTGCTGCTGCTGCTGCTGCTGTTGCTGCTGCTGCTGTTGTTGCTGCTGCTGCTGGTATTGTCTCTCCTCGATCCTCCGTCTTTTGGCATCTTCTGTTGCCATTTCTATGCTGTCTTGCTGCTGCTGCTGCTGCTGCCACCAGTTACCAGCAGCAGCAGCAGCAACAGCAGCAGCAGGATCATCATCAACAACAGCAGTAACATGATTAACAAGAAGACAGCAGCAGCAATGCTCAGCAGCAACTCTGCGCAGCAGCGCAGCAATACGTATAAGTTTACTATTCCTTATAGCAGCAGCAGCAGCAGCAGTACTACCACTTGCTGCTGTTGCAGCAGCAGCAGCAGCAGCAGCAGCAGCAGCAGTTTGTTTAATTATAGCAGCAATAGAGTCAATAATAATAAGAGTAATTGTCTCCTTATAGATAAGGAGACGGGGTAATCTATACAAAAGACAGCAGACTAATTCCTCCTCTGTATTTATTTCCTCTATATATATTTGCTGCAGTGCTGCTGCTGCTGCTGCTGCTGCTGCTGTTGCTGCTGTTGCTGATGCTGCTGTACGACGCAGCAAACGATTATGTATTATCTCTGCTAATCTTGCTGCAGGGAATGCTCCCTCTGTATGTATATAATACACCACTCCTCCCCTCCTCCTGCTGCTGCTGCTGCTGCTGCTGTTGCTGCTGCTGTTGAGTAGTCTCTGCCGCTGCTGCTGCTGCAGCAGCTGCTGCAGCACACATTCAGCAGCAAGAGACAAAGTTAGCTGCGTCTTGCCGCTTCCTGCTGCACCACAGATCTCCCCTATCATCCCTATAGGTAGTCCCCCCCCTAGTGTCTTATCTATATATGTCTCCCCTAGCTGCAGCAGCAGCTGCTGCTGCTGCTGCTGCAGCTGCTGCTGCTGCTGGTACTGCTGCTGCTGCACTGCAGCAGCAGCTAATATCTCCTCTACTGTCCTCTCCCTCCATAGAGGAGAAGGAGGAGGCCAAGGCAGCAACTCATCTGCTGTACAACTCTTACCACTTGCTGCTGCTGCTATAAATGCATTTGCTGCTGCTGCTGCTGCTGCAGCAGCAGCAGCATCCGCTGCTTCTGATTCCTCCTCGGCTGTTGCTGCTGTTGCTGCTGCTGCTGCTGTTGCAGCTGCTGCTGCTGCAGCAACGTCTACACCCTCACCGTCATCCTCGTCTATAGGAACAACAGCCTCAGGGCCGATGTCTGCAGCAGCAGAAACTGCTGCTGCTGCAGCTGCTGCTGCTGTTGCTGCTGTTGCTTCGTCAGTGCAGCCGTGGGGGCCCTCTACCCCAGGGGCCCCCATCCTGCATGCACGAGCTGCTGCTGCCAGCCCCAGCAAGGGACCTTGCTGCTGCTGCTGCTGGTGTTGCGTGCATTCGAGTTGTTGCTGCTGCTGTGGCTGAACTGCTGCTGTTGCTGCTGCTGCTGCAGCTGCCTTCCCGTGTCTGTTGCTGCTTGCTGCAGCAGGGTTGCTGCTGCTGCTGCTGCAGTTGATGTCGTCGACGTGGATCTTCTGCTGCTGCTGCAGCAAAATAAAAATAAATTTATTTTAATTAAATTAATTATTATTAATTATAATTTTTTATTGTTATTAATTGCTCAGGTGCACATACACCTCTATCTGCTGCAAACCCCACAGCAGCAGCAGCAGCAGCAGCAAGGCATCGGGGTGGTAGTGGGTCCCCCC